CCCCAAAACCCCAAAACCCCAAAACCCCGGATTAAAAGCATCGAATATAATAATTTTGCAAATTTAATTTAATATCTGAAGAAATGAAGGTTAACGGTTATTATAATTAAAAATATTTAAATGTTTTCCAAAAAGGAAGAGCCTAAATAAGAAGTAGTAGCTCCAGCTAATGATGCTCCAGGCAATGAAGATGCCAAGAAAAAACTGAGCAGAGAAGACGCTGCAAAGAACAATAAAAAAGATGAACCTGAATAGCTTGATGTATGTCTATCATAAATTCTTCTTTTCAAAGTATTAATGATAAATTTTCTAATAGATTGAGATGAAACCAGGTGACTATAGAGTGTAAGTGCATATCCTGGAGTGCAAAGACATCAAAGCTAAAGGCAAAGCGGGAGGTGGAGGCTTTCTTGCGCATTTTGAGGGCGAGACTGCAGACCCAATGGTCGAGGTATGAATCATATGTAATAAATTATCTCCTCTTAGGTAGAGGTAATGAATCAATTGAAGATCACTGACTATAAAAGTGGATAACTAAACCCTATCTTCAACGAGTTGCTATTCTTTGAATTCACCGATTTGAAGACAGCTGATCTAGAAACTGCAATGATCAAGATTAGTCTAATGGATCATGACTTTATTGGTTCAAATAACCTTATTGGGCAGTTCACAGTCGACATGTCTTACATTTACAAGATGAATAAAGATCATGAACTTTACAAGATGTGGGTAGCTATGACTGACATGTCTGATGAAACTCAGGGAATCAATGCATTCCTCAAATTATCAATATGCGTTTTGGGACCAGGAGACAAGCCACCAGTTCATGATCCAAAGAAGGATCTAAAAGATAGAAATAATAATGGAGCGATTAGGTTATTCACTCCTGGACGTGTGAAGATGTCAGGGCACATTATTAAGTTTGGCATATTCAGGGCCGAGCATTTGGCGCCCCTTGATTTGGTTTAAAATAGCGTTGACCCTTACTTTAAGATTTCGTTTGCTGCCACTAAAGCTGAAACTAAGACAATCAATGATAGCAGGAATCCCGAATTCAACTAAGAACTGTCTCTCGCCTGTAAGTTGCCTTGCATGAATAGCAAAATCAAGATAGAAATATGGGATGATGATTTGACTTATGATAAGAGGGTGGGCACACACTATATTGATTTTAAGCAGATCTAAGAAAAGGCTTTTGGTCCTAGATGGGCTAATCTTTATGGCCCTCAACTCACTGCTGAAGGAGATGAAGCTGATTTGATGACTAAATTTGGAGATAAGGGTTCCACTTACAGAGGTAGATTTCTCTACAGTGTTTAGACGCATAATGAAGAAAACCCCAAAAGTGGCACTAAAGATTTGAAATTTAGCTTTCCTTCTCACCCAAGCCCGAATGTGAAAGAAAAAGCTTACTAGCTAAAAGTTGCTCTCTACGAAGGAATAGAATTGCCTGAATTTGAAGAGGCGTGTATTCATATTTGCTGTGGTCCCTATGAAATCGCCTCAAAAGTAGTTAAAAATGAGAATTCAAGAGCTATTTGGAATCAGTACATGCCAGATCTAATCATTAGAGCTCCAGAAGTGGCTGAAGATATCTATGATATCATCATTTATCTAGCCTACGATAGCAAACCTGGCTCTAGAGTCTGTTTCAAAAGAATCAAGGCTGCTGATATATTAGATACTAAAGGCAAAAAATTTGAAATCGAGAGCTATCTTTTGGAAGAAGATAAATCAATGGACAGATTAGACGATGAATAATTTCCAGGAATAATCTATGCCAGAATCAAACTCTACTCTAAGGACATCGAAGACAAGTTCCCTAAGGACATCTTTAAATCTCAAGATAATTACATCGACTACTTGCTTCACATTCATTTGTTTATGGGAAGAAATTTCCCTCCTGCAGATGAAACAGGAGCAGCTGATCCATTTGTCATAGCCAGATGCCAAGGCAAGAAAACTAAGTCTCGCACTAAGTTTGAAACACTAAACCCAGGATTCTATGAAACTCTCGAGATAGTAGTTAGTCTACCACCCTTCAATGACAAGGATGTAAGACTAGTGTATATATTGACATTTATAGTATCCTAAACCAGGAATATCTCTCTTGATTTACGATGAAGACCCAGGTATCTTTGGATCGAAGAAAGATCTACTTGGAAGAGTGTGGATTGATCTAGAGAAAAAAACATCATAGATTGCAAGTCCGCTTGATCACAAAATGAGAACTGTAACTACTCACAAAGAACCTGAGTGGTATGATCTGATATTTGATGCCACTAATTCAAAAGATGGTCAACTGCTAGTAGGATATGATTTAATACCGCTGCATGAAAGAGAAAGCGTGAGTACTTTAACTATTAACAATTTTTTAGTTTCCCTTGAATAAAATAGTTATAAGGCCTGAAGTGGTGCCTGGAGTGCTAAGTATGGCTATTATAGGGATCAGAGATATAATACCTTCGATTAATCTCTTGCCTGTGAAGAAAATATTCTGTAAATTTGACATCTCTGGAGATACTAAAGAACCAATAATCAGCAATAGACATGCTGTACTGGGAGGTTCCTGTAATATTTTCGAGGTCTTATCGCTTGAAATTGATGTACCTACTGATCTTGACTATTCACCAATTTTAACTGTTTATGCTTATGATAATGTGATGGGCTTTCTTGGATCAAGGCTACTAGGAGTAGCCAATATCCCTCTTGAGAAGTTTTGCAAAAAGGTCCTAGACAAGCTAAAGAAGACTTCCAAAGCTTTCTAAATTAATTCAGGTCCTCCAAGCAAGAAGTCTAATGAGGGCGGCTTACAGTTGAATGATATAAAACTAAAAGAAAAAATGAAGGGTGTAAAGCATATGATTGTTGATGAGGGTACAGTAAATGATCCAAATCAGCACCTATTTGAGAGCAATATTAAGGGAAATCCATTATAAGTTTAACTGAAACATGGTGCAACCAGAAGTACTGTCACAATATCTAAACCCACAGTAAAACCAGATCCTGAGGAAGAGGAAAAAAGGATAAAGGAATAAAAAAAGTAAAAATAAATTGAAGAATACAAAAAGAAAGTTGAAGAGGAATAAAAAAAGATTGAAGAGGAAAAGCAAAAGAAATTAGAAGAAAATGAGAAAAGATTAAGCATGGTAAAAAAGAGATCTAATCTAAAACCCTAGCAAGCTAAATTTATGGAAAACTAAGAGGACTACGACTCTCAACCTGAGGAGCAATTAGATGATGAGCCTGAATGGCTAAAGGAAAGAGAAAGAGTGCCAGATGAATTAGAGGATACAATAGGAAAGCCACCCTTTGATACTTGGAAGATCTAAAGAGGCCAGACTAGAGGCAAAGCCAATTTTATGTCTAAAACTGTGCAAAGCACTCTAGAAAAAACCGGATTATTCAAGAACATTATAAAGATCAAAGATAAGTCCTTATAAAAAGCATAAGTCGATGAAAAATTCAAAGAGTTCATTACTCCAAAGAAGTAAGTAGTTGTTGTTTAATTAATACTATTAGTATTGTGGTAAGGCTCTATGTCTTGAAAGGTAAAAGTCTGACACCAAAGGATGCGAATACAAGTGATCCTTACCTAGTGATCAAACTAGGCCAGACAACTATTACTGACAAGGAATCTTTAAGGCCAAAGACAAATAACCCTGGATTTTTTACATCTTATGATATTCCAGCAACTTTGCCAGGAGCTTCAACTCTAGCAATTGAATGCTGGGATGATGATGGCTTTGACTTTCCAGATTTGATTGGAGCTACCAAGATAGACTTGGAGGACAGGTACTTCAATAAAGATTGGAGACTTTAGTATCCAAATAAAAAACCTATTGAAGAAAGGACTTTATTTGTGCAAAAATCATCAGCACCTTAAGGTGTAATAGAATGCTGGCTAGAGATACTGGACCCAAAGGATGCTTAGTCTATTCCTAGGTTTGATATTAGACCACCACCTTAGGAAGAGTATGAACTTAGAGTTATAGTATGGGGAACAAGAGACTGCGTTTTTAAAGACGAAGCCACCAAGTGCAATGATCTCTTTTTGACTGGTATTTAGGGTGATAAGAAATTAGAAACTGATACCCATTGGAGATGTAGATAAAAGGGGTCGTTTAACTGGAGATGGAAGTTTCCAATTAAATTACCACTTGACTTAGATGAGGACTATGGAAAAGATATTCTTTAAGTAATAAGCTTTATTTTACACTCTTTTAGCTGCAAATGTGGGATCGTGATATAACAGATGCAAATGACTTAATTGGAGAAGTTCAAATTTTACTAAATGATACTGGCTATAGAATGCTTGATAAGTAATTCATCATCATATAACTCATTGCTTATAATAGGGTTTACAAAAGAAAGAAAAGAATAGTGATGAAAAAGATTAATGGAAAGGATCAAAAGAAGATGGAGAGGTTTTGGGTTGTTTTCACTCATCCAGAAGAGAAAGATGAAAATGATAATTATATTCCGCAGGGCTATGCTGAAATTTCAGTTGAAATTATACCTAAGAATCTAGCTGCTGAAGTTGAGAATGGACTAGGTAGAGATGGACCCAATCAACATCCAATGCTGCCTGAGCCAACTGGTAGAATGACCTTTGTAAATTATCTTGTTTAAACATTTTATAGGACTTATTTTCTCCCTGGAAGATGATGAAGGAGCTGTTAGGACCAGAATTAGCAAGGAAAATCTGTTGTATAGTGTGCATGACTGTTTGCTGCTTGCTTTTACTTTACTGGGGATTTTTCTTCATTGGAGACATTGCTGGTGCATTAATAGCATTGGCTAAGTGAGGTTGAAGCATTGGCCATTGATACCGATCAAATTTTAATTACTTACTAATTTTTAAAGCAGTTTACTATTGAAAGAATGAGTGAAGGAGTCAATGAGGAATTATTAGATAGATTGTTAGATGTTATGAATTAATTTAAATTTATAGATATTTCAATAAATATAAACAAATATTAAAATAATAAAGTTCAATATAGAACTAAAATCAATAATCCTGCAAACTCAAAAGTTTTAATCAACCATCAAAAAATAAGTATCAATGTTGCAAAATCGGACTCAATTCAAACCCGACATCCCGGCTATCATCAAAATGATGGCTTGTGTGCTAAGCGAGACAGTACGCACCCAGGACAAACTCCTAGACGACTATTGTAAGTGTAATTCACAAAGATATATAAGTTATGTCTGATCACTTTTTACTATAGAGTCATCAGTTTTTCATCAAGAACCCGCCTCTAAGGTCAAGCTATATGAGTACTTTGCTACTCTCTTTCTACAGTTCAGATGTAGCCTTTCCTCATTCATGATTATTTTTATCTACATCAACAGGATTCTTGAGAAAAATGATCTTATTTTACTCTGCTCATAAACTATTCATAGGTAAGTTATTAATTGCTTTGAATTTGTTACTAAATATACAAATTATTCTGACAGTAAATGGGCTGATTATACTTCATAATTTAATCACTTGGCATTTATTCAGAACGCTAATTGCAAGATCACCAAAATCTGATATTAAAATTTTATTTAGGCTTATACTCACATGCTTAGTAGTATCAGCAAAGTTTAATGATGAGTTAAGTTACAAAAACAGTGATTATGCTTAAATAGGCGGCATAAGTCCAGAAGAGCTTAAAATTCTAGAGAGAGAATTGCTTTACCTCATTGACTATCAACTATTGGTCACTCCCTAAACATTCAAACATGCTCATTCAGAGATTAAAAATCTTTATAAGCAAACTAAATTTATCAGATCATCTCGCCACCAATATCAGTCTATGCATATTCTCACTACACACAAATCTCCATTGACAAGCAACAAGAGAACAATCAGGCAAGAGAATGAAAGCCCTGTTCATCAATTACCTACACCCCTCAGTAATGTGTCTAGATCTGAAAGCCTAGCTTCAATGGCTACTACTGCAGCCCTCACTCATTCAAACTCCTACCAGGAATTGCCTGTAACTGACACTAATAATACAAATATGATGATAGGCCTAAATTCGCCTTCAATAAATGACCAATTTTCTAATAGAAACATTCAAAGATTAGACAGCTTCTTTGATTGTGAGCAGACTGATTACTTTAGATTAGTATAGGAAAACTATGATGTTCCTCAAACTTTAAATATTCAACCTAAGATGATTATGATATAATCCCCTTTTGATTCAAGAAGTTCAAACTAAGAATAGAAATCAACAGTTCAAATTGCTTAATCGAATTGCTAATTAAATTTGAAAAATAATGTAGTTAGAATTGAAAATAGACATTGTAGACTGGATTAAGAGTCAATATTCATCAGAATTCAGCTATTAATTAAATCGATTTTAGCTGTGTTCTCAGATTTCCTAAGCAACATAGTTATCAATCATTTGAATATCTACTTTGTTCATATGGCTTGAATATAGAGTGGTTTCAATCTCATAACAATTAGCCCCGAGATAATGAATTTCCTCAGGCAATCAACTATCATCTGTAAATGAATCAATCTTTAAAATTTTCAAACTTGGGTGATTTCTGATAGTTTCAAGGTTTAATGGTCTTTCTTGTGTACATTACAATTTTAGAAGCATGGATCTTGGGACAACTCAGTAGAATCAACCAGATTATTAATCTTTTATCTTGTAAATAATCCTAAACAATGATTGATTTTAATAATAATTTAGCCGGCAGGCACCCTTATACACGTTCTTATGTTCCTATTTTAAATCTAATACTCTCTGTCACTCCATCATTATAAAAACTCTTAGCATGGGGTTTTGGGGTTTTGGGGTTTTGGGGTTTTGGGG